AGAATAAAATACTCGAACACGTTTATAGCGGTAGAGTATCAATATTTCATCACGTTTACTAATTTAAATATACATATATATTTCATTATTAGAAATTCATTAATCAATTCATTAATAAATAATTAGAAAAAAATTTTATAAAAAAAAAAAGCAGAATGATTGATGATCTGCGTAGGATTTAATATCTCTTCTTCCTCCTCGATAAAAATATACATTAAAGAGAAAGAAGCCAATGCAACACATGGGTGGCTTAGCCAGTCGATTGATAGGAGAATCGGACGATGCTATTGGTCAACTGTGCCGATTCATTTGAATAATTCCCATTGTCTGGAAAGCTTCGGCCTTGCGTGTTTTCTACGCACTACGCGCCATTGTGTTTATGACCGCGGAGAGAAAGCACGCACGGTAATTACATTGTAGCACTGAGTGATTAATGCCTCCTTGAGCGTCGCATACATAATGCGAAACACGTCTTTCACGCCTTTTCATTCACACATGGAAGAAGCTATGTGTATGGACGATCAGTACAAAAGGAAAATTAAATAAAAGGAAAGCCGGCCCCCGTTGCCCGAAAATGAAACATTAGGACAGTGACTCTGAGAGATATTAATTTAAAGAAGTGGAGCGAAAAATTTCAATTCTTTTATAATCAAGCAAAAAGAAATTATGTTTCTCGTTTATGTGCTTAAATTTCACAATTGCAAAACAATTTCATCTACTTTAATTTCAAAACAAAATATAAATATATTATTAATTAGCTAAATATAAATATTTCATAATAAAATGTCATCATTTTCCAAAATTATTTTTCAAAATCAGAAAGCTATATATGTAAAACAGTTTTAAATCTGAACAAATTTAAAACAAACAGACATTTTTAGAAACCGTGAGTATTACCGGGAATAACGCCATTTTATAATTATATATATTTTATTGTTTCTAATTTTTAGATAAATACGAATTGATTTCTATTACGCGAAATTTGTAAATCGCATTTATTTTCGTTATCTCTATGGGAAAAAATTCAATTTTGTTGAATAACGCTATCAGTTTCCAGATGATTCTGTCACCAAGAAATTCGTTTTATAGAGGGAACAAACAGAAGAGCGAACATTTCATCTATCAAGTATCGTTCCAGGAAGCTATGGTGCAATTAAGAGCAGCGAACCAATTAGCAAGCGCACTGGACTTTGTAAGCTCGAAAGCCCTCTCTGCAAAGGTCTGCCTCGTATGTTCGCAATCACCGTCAACCATCGCAGTCAACCGTCTAATTATAAGTGAGTCCACGAGACGAAAAGCGTCGAATAGAAAATGCAAAACCGAGATAGAAACTTGAAAAAAATATATATATATACGAATCTTAAACGTTTCGCAAAATATTAAATCTTTATTTTTAATTTAATAATGTTATGTGACAATGTTAAATAATATGAGACTATATGAGAATAATATGAGAAACATATTATTTAATTAGAAAAAATTATCACATATTTTACGGTAGAATTTTAGTTCTTTAGAAAAGAAAGTTCTCTTTAATCTCCGAAACACAACCTTAAAATACTTTCGACACAACAAGAGCGATATAAAAATATTTCCATTTTATTCATTTAATTTCGCGTGCAATTGACATAACATTCTACAAAAATTGCGGACACGATCCTCGACACATTTCTACATGAATTTCTCGAAATTCAAAAATTTCTATATAAATATTTATTATTATGGAGTGGCGAAAACCGATTAAAACGATATGGCGGGAAACCGGACGTGCGAGGGACTTTCTAGACTCAAACTTTTTAAGGTGGAAATCTACATGCCGGTCGCTTGCTAAAGGTTAACTGCACTCACATGCAAATGTATTCTGCGGATTAGCACACGAGCACTGTAACGGCACGACGGTTGTAATTTTTATCGTATACCAACCGCCAACTTTAGTTAGAAATATATACTTGAGCGATACCAATTTACAGCGTTATATGCCTCAATATGTTGCACGCAAGTTGTGGCGATGACATAAAAGGAGGAAGACTTGAAATTTTACGAAATATTCCCTAACGGCTCTACATAGATAGACCTTTCTATCGCCGTATGTCTCCATTTAACGTTTATTGAAGTATACGTGTCTTCGTGACTACTGACATCCTGTATGATTACGGAAAATTGGATTTCATGAGAATGCAAGTTTGCAAAA